CATCATCCCTGCATCTCCTGGTGCTGTCAAGGCCCTGGGCAAGGTCATCCCTCAGCCAAATGGGAAACTCACTGGCATGGCCTTCTGTGTCCCCACTGCCAACGTGTTGGTCGTGGATCTGACCTGCCATCTGGAGAAAGCTGCTGAATATGAAAACATCAAGAACATCCGGGGCCACACTGAGGACCAGGCTGTCTCCACCGCCTTCAACAGTGACGCGCACTCTTCCACCTTCAACGTTGGGGCTGGTATTGCCCTCGATGACCACATTGTCAAGCTCATTTCCTGGTATGACAATGAATATGGTCCACATGGCCTCCAAGGAGTGAGAGCTCACTGGATCACCAGCCCCAGCGAGAGCACAAGAGGAAGAAAGAAACCCTCAGCTGCTGGGGAGTCCCTGCCCCAACTCAGTCCCCAACACACTGAGAATGCCCCTTCCTCGGCACAGTTTCCATCCCAGGCCCCCTGAAGAAGGGGAGGGTCCTAGGGAGCCCTACCTTGTCATGTACCATCAATAAAATTCCCTTGTATGCAAAATAAAATATGCTTCTTACAGACAGAAGGGCAGCAAAACGTAGGAGTTTTTAATAGCTAATTTGTAAACATGAAGTGTTAATTAAAATTCATGCCTCTCAAAGTTTCTCATGAACCTCTAAAATTCATTCTGCTATTGTGATTTCAGTTCTTTTGTTGTCTTTTTTCATGGATGTATCTCTAATTATAGACAAAGCCTAAAAAGATGTTTTTAAATATTTCATAAGAGAATTATTTAAAAACCTACCAAATTAAGAAAATTAACTGTATTTCCATGATTCAGTTAGTGCAAATTCTGTGACTAATTTGGTTGTATCACAAGACCAGGTTCTTTGACTCCAAGTGTAACAGAAATTGACACAAGGGCAATGAGTCCGAGCAAGCAAGGCTTAGAGCTTGTGCCTGGGCACAAGGGAAACAGTGCGGAAGGGAGGGTCCTTCACCTGGCTCCCTGAGAGGGAGGTCATGGAGAACATTAAAGGGGCTTAGGCTGGAAAGGGGTTATGGCAAGGCATGCGGAGGTGGGGATTTCTTGGCACTGGTGCACTTGAAGATCATGCTTCTTCGTGCATCACGTCTCATTAGCATGTTAAATCTCCACCCCTGGGCATGACTTTTAGTATTATAATGAAAGAAAAAGTCAGCAAAAGGTCAGCACTGGAGTACCTCTTGGCACAGGCCAGTTTGGTCCAGTTCCCACAGTGGGTCTTCTCCTTTGGGTAAACATCCTGCTTCACATTCCTGCAAGATACCACTGAAAAGATATACAGCTTAGCCTTCCCCTTATCTGGGTATGGGTTAGATTCCTGTGGTTGGAAAAGTATTTATCTCAGCCGTTTGTCATCAGGAGTGAGGGTGGCTGAGTCCAGGCCCTATTCTTTCTCATTCCTCCCCTGAGAGATTTTATCCTCCTTAATCTTAAGGAGAAAGGGGCTGGAAGTTTCACTCTTCTGAAGCGACTTCCTGCTGTGCGTGGATGTTAGCCCTGCCTATAGTTTTGAGGCATAAAAATCTCTTACTGACTGCTTTGGGGAACCGTAAGGACCTGGAGACTCTTGTGAGGGTATGGGTTGGAATCCTTGCACCATCTTCATTTTGACATGGAACTATTACAGTCTGGAAGATATAAACTTTACTAACAGATTAAAAAGAGAAGTCTAGAATCTAATAACAGGTGTAGTATACTTTTTTTCTGAAACATAATTTTCTCTCTCCATGTTTCCAATTTTTACCAAAGATGTTCATAACAAGACTAATTTATTTGCAAAATCAGTTTGGTTTCTGGCCACACTGTTTGCATAAAGTGCAGCCGAATAATGATTTATCATATAGGCTCTTTTTAAAATGGCTATGATGGGCTTCCATAAGGAATATCAGATTAGATCTTTAAAAGCCTCTTAGGCTTTATGAAGCCAAGTAAAGAATCTGACTCCTCTCTGATTACCTGTATGAGTTGGGTGAGTTGCTCTCTTCTGGAGGTCCCCAAAATATCAAGGTTCTAGCCCATGAGGAAGTTATATTTTTTACCTACCACAAGGCCAGGAACCCCGGAATCATGTAGACAAAGGTATCAGGCCAGTCTTTCCAAGGGGTGTTTTATTGGATCCATAAAACATCAACGTCAATCCCTTAAAGCAGTCTGGTTATATCTGGAAATATGATACTTCAATCAAAGTGTCAGGGAAATGACCCGTGTTTCCAATTCTGTCCTGTCACAAGAGCAGAGTCTTCTTGAACTTATGCAAATAACTACACTGTCATAAAATAAGAACATTCATGAACAGTTTCAAAATCCTAGAGAGATCAAGTATGGAGAGAAAAGTAAATGTTTCAGTTTTGCTCACAAACACAACTTTACCAAGGTGTTATAGCTTAAAAAGATTTTTAAAATCTGGAAAACATTAAAAGAACAAGCAATGTTTCAAAAAATGAAACTGCAAAACCCCATAATTCTTAATCGGTTGATTCAGTTTTATGTAAATAACTTTTGTTATGTTTGATTTTGGTTTGCATCTTCACAGATGTCGGCAAGGCCAGGAATCTTCCTTTTCACGAAACACAGCAAAGGCCTTCAAGAACACCAGTGCACGATTCATAAAAAAACATGACCAAATAAAGCATGGTGAAGATGAAAGGATTTGTGATACTAAAATGAATCCATACCTTGTTTTCAGATCCATTGATAATACATAGCATTTGCAGTTTATAAATGAGTAAAGACAGTTTGATATTTTCTTCAAAACTGTACTCTAGCATATTTTAGTGCCCAATATGTACACATTGGCTTATTGGAAGACCATCCTTATGATATAAGGACAATCAGGCCAAAACTGTATTGAGCTGTGTG